GGTTATTCTTCCGGAATGACTAAGTTATTCAAACCATCCACAGTCGGTCATATGTTGGAAGTAGATATGAATTAAGACTGTCATGGGTTGGCTTGTAGAGGTCTAAGGTGTTGGACAAATGGCTACAACACTCATGAGTGCTCATAAGTTCTGAGTATTGGATTCAACCCGCGCTCATTGGAATCACTTCATGGATTTTATCACGAGTGATCATGAGACGATAATATCTTATATTCTTCAAACCTAGAGATATGAGTTGTTACTATGAGTTGTTAGTACATTGATTGCACGAAACGCATTGGTAACTCGATGTTATAAAACGTGTCTTTGTGTATGATTCAACAAGTAGTAGAACAAGCCATATGAGTCGAAGTTTATCCATTCCTTTTACCTTCGGGATAAAAGCGATATCTGTGGGCCCCTCGATGATTTGATGATGACAAATGGAAGTGCTCGGCCGGGCCAGGACTGATTTGATTTGTTCAATTAGTCAGTCGTCATAAATCGGAAATCGGGAAACAACAAATGGACAGAGAGAATGATTATAATCCATGTCTCAGTCCATATGATATCTAGAATGGAGGAATATATGATCCCTTATCTAATGGACAAGTCATTGACAAGATCAGAGTTCATCTACAAGGTCAGAGTTCGACAGAAGCTTTTGAGAGCTACGATTGCAGTTGGTTCCTGAAGTCATACGCAATAATAGTTTTAGACTTATCCAAGTGGGAGACTGTTGGATTAATGTCTAAGTCCATAACTATAATTGGTAAGACTTGACCCGACCCGGCATGGTCCATTTGGGTTGCATACATCATGCACTTGGATAGACTATAATGAGAGAAATAAGACACTTATGGTTATTAATATATTATAAGTTCTAGTATATTAATAATAAGAATAAAAGATTATTTAATTAGTATTGATCAAGAATTAATCTAGGATTAATTAAGTGATCAAAAGAAGACTAATTAAATATATGGGTTGATTGTGTAAATCATCCATACTTGTATAGTGGGCTAATGCTCCATGGATTATCTAGTTGGGCTAAAACCCATGTGATGCTCCATGGATGCTCCATGGTGTATTTGAACCCATGGATCCAAGGAAATGGAAAGTCATGACAATTAGGGTTTACCCTAATTGTATAACTATATAAGCATCTTATTCTTGAGGAAAATCGGCCACTAGTGAGAGTAACAAAGGGCTAGCCGATTTTCATGAAGTGTAGAACTCTCTCAAGTTATTCCAAGTGTTTTTGATGATTGTAAACCATTTGAGGTGTCAGACTTGGGGCACTAGGAACTCAAGCTTCATGAAGACATTCTACATCAAAGAGGTGTGTATTCTATCTTGTTATATTGATAGTTTTGTATGCTAGATTAGGATAATACCTTGGATGTTCATATTTGCATGTATAATAGAGAAAACATAGATCCAAGGTATTTAGGGTTGCATGTACACTTAGGAGTGTTAGAATGCTCATAACCCAACAAATACAACTGGTAGCGTTTACATTTAGTACATTGTTCCCTAACATTACATGCCCAAAAAGTAGATTGTTCGGTGCTAATTGAACAAGCAGCAAAACGTCACTGAGTACACTTATCCCTTCGATTTATCTGTTACCTAAGAATACAAGTATTTTGAAAAACCGTCAACATATGAAATGTTGGTGAGTTCATAAGTAATGTTTGAAATCCAATGTTTGTATTGTTTCGAAAACCACCAGAAAATCCGATATTTTCTGAAAATAGTATAACGTAAAAAAAAGTGTGAAGATCCGTGAGTCTGCTTGTTTGTTTTCTATAGATGTAAGCGTACGAGTTGTGAAATTCGGCATGTAGTTCGTAAGTGTACTAGTTGAAAACCCTAGGAAAACCCGACGTTTTCCTATCACTTTGCTTTAATTAGTTTATGTGTTATTGTTTCGTTACATTAGAGGTATTCGTTGAGCTCCGGAGGCATTGACTATACAGTGAAGTGGTGAATTGTTGTAACGTCCGTTAATGAAAACATCCAGTTGACAACCGTACTAGCGATCCCTTAGGCGTCACTCGCACTTATTCACACAACTCAATCCTCCCGGACTTGTGTAGTCCCACGACCGAAGAGAAAAAGAGAAGGTGCGAAACCCTCGGTATTTCCCTACGTCGTTCAAGACCATTGCAATTGCGAAGGGCCCGAAGCCCAACCCGCAATCGTGAGTTCCCGACTTTACTAGCAGCACCGAAGGACCCTTGGGGACCAGCAGCACGTTTGCCATTGAAAGTCCTTTTACACGCAGTTAAGTCGTATTAGACCCAACTACATGTAAGCAAGTATCCATTGGGCCTAAACATCATGTCATCGGGCTAGCTAGGCTCAACAAGCATGATTTGCAACTTTTGGGCCTAAGGAATGTACGTCGACGTATTGAGTAATTCCACGAGAGTATAGAGTTCCGAGAGTTCCATATGTGTATTGAGCGTTGTATGTTAGTAGTTTTGGATTTGTTATTGGTTCGAGACCGAATCAATTCGTTTAACAACGATTTTTGGTATTGTTGTGTATTGTGTCGGTAGTCGTGGTGCCAATATTCGATCAAGTTACGTGTATTGAATTAGCCTTGAAAGTTTTCTGTTTTCAGCCCCTCATTGTTTAAAATTTACTTTTTCAACCCTCTAATTAAATAACTTTCCGGTTTGGTCCTTAAATCATTTTTCTTGACATTTTAACACCAAAAATTATTGAAATTAATATTTTTCAGCATATTTTTCATTGAAAACAGTTTAAGTCCCTGAAATTGCAGTTTTCTCGGTTATAACCCTCTTTTTCGCATTTTTACAATTTTGGCCCCAATTGGAAAAATTTTGCAACTTTGGTCCTTTTTAAATTTGAAAAGCATTTTAAACCTTTGAAAAGTACTTGTAACACTAGTAGTCCACTGTTTTACAGAAAAACACAGTTTTGGCCCTCCAAAACAGAAAATTTCGCATAATGGGCCCTATTGGGCCGAAATTGTCATTTTTAGCCCATTAAGGTTGAAATTTATGTTTTTAATCCTCCAAAAGAGTATATTTTCAGAAAATACATTATGGAAACTGTTTTAACTCATCTCACCCATCAGATTTCGAAATATTTCATTTTGGGCCCTTCAACTTTGTATTTTTAACATTTATGTCAAAAAAATGAGTTTTTAGCCCAAAGTATGTATTGTTAAGCCACTTAGCTATTTTTCTTGGTATACTTTGTATGTAGTAGTATGTTTTATGTTAGTATCATTTAACATAGAGTATATCTCGGTTTTTAGTGATTTATGACTAGATCCAACATCATAATCATACCAAACACACATATAAGCATAGAAATCATACAAAGCATACACATAATGATAGATCTACACCTTTGCTTGTATTCTCCCCCACAAAAACTTATAAAAACTGAAAATAAGGGGGTATGAAGCTCACCTTTTTTGAAGGTTTCGGTTTTTGATGAAGATGTGAAGAGGTTTTTGGCCCTAGCAAGCTTCTTGAGGAGCTTTACAACTTAGATGGCTCTAAGATGTATGATTCACGAAATAGAAAGGGTTAAGAGGAGATTTTGAAGAAATCAAGAAGCTAAACCATGGATATAAGTAAAAACTTACCTAGGATGATGATTTTTGGTGAAGAGTCCTCTTGAAAGCACACACCAACTCGAGATTTTTGATGGAAGAGGGAAGAGGTTTTTGAGAGTGTTTAAGAGAGTTTTTGAAAGAAAAATCAAGGTGGTGAGAGAGTTAGCCGAGAATATGGAGAGAAGGGAGAAAGAGATCATAACCTTGTTATTTGTGAGGTAATAGTTAGTCTTGAAACATGAGATGCTACCATAGATATATGGTGGTTAAACATGAGTTGTCACATGCATGTTTGGTCTTCATTTATCCATTCTTTTCTTTTTTTTTTTTTTTTAATAAACATGGCCGATTTGGGCTTAAGAGAAAGAAAAGAAATCCTCTTGGGCCCACACTCGAATTTATGAAACCCAAAAATAAATTTTCGGCCCATTGGGGCAAATGAAATCTTTTATGGCTCAACAAGGCTCATTAGAGGTAAGATGGATTATTTTAGGCCCACATGGCCCAAAATGCTAAAGTTTTATGAATGTGGTCTATTTAGAGCCCAATTAGAAATAAGATAGATCATTCTAGGCCCATTAAAGCCCAAAATACTACATCTTAACAAATGTGGGTTCAAATAGGGCCCAACTTAAGACTCTTATCTTAAAGAATTAAGTTAAGGGTTTATTGGCCCATTAGGTCCAATAAAGAATTCATAGTCCATAACAAACTTGAATAGGGATTTTTAGAGTTTCAAAATCTTTGTTGAACATGAGAGATGTATTTGAATGAGTATAAAGTATGATATTTGCTTAGAGTACCAAATCATTATACGGGTTGAATGATTGCATGAGAGTAGAATTTCCTAGCAAAAATGCTAGTTGTGACATACCTTCTGGTTATATGCAATTTGAGGTGAGGGTAGGGACTGGTGGATATGTTGTAGGCCTTAATACCAAACAATGTGGATGCAAGGCATCGCAGTTAGCAGGGTGTTCTTGTGTGCATGGATATGCTGCCATTTCAAGCCTCAATAGGGACCTTGAGGACTATGTGTCAAAATGGTTTACTACATCAATGTATGCAAGTTGTTATAGGTATAACATTAGGCCACTGAACTGTAGTGCTATGTGGCCTGAAGTGGATTACACCATACCATTGCCCCCTAAAAAAGAAGGCTACCTGAAAGACCAACAATGAAAAGGAAAAGGGATCAGGTTGAGAGAGAAGCTAAGGGAACAAGGCATACAATCTCAAAAAAGGGAATGGTCTTGAGATGTACCATTTGTAGGGAAAGAGGGCCTAATAGATCAACATGTCCTCAAAGACCAAATTGTGTACCATCTTCTTCAGGTTCTAAAAAATAGAAGCCTAAGAAACAAGGTATGGTGGTAAATTATGTAATAATTACACTTGTATGCCATTTCTGAACCTTTTCCCTCTTACAGGTAAAGTTGATGTTCAAGTAGACCTTGAAGCTAAATTGGAAGTGGAACATGCAATTATGTTTGAAAGTGAAAGTGATAGTGACTTTGAAAGTGAAAGTGATGTGGAAGCTAAAATTGAAGTGGAAGCTACAAGTGATTTGGTACCTGAAATGGATGTTAACATTGAAGTTCCTGAAGTTGATGTGGATGCTAACATTGAAGTTCATGAAGTTGATGTGGAAGCTAACACTGAAGTACTCAAAGTGGATGCTAACATTGAAGTTCCTTTAGTTCAAGATAACATTGAAGAAGAGATTCAAGATGAAGTGGAACATGAAATTCAAGTTAACATTCAAGAAGAAGTTCAAGATAATGTGGAAACAAGAAATTCAAGACAATGTAGAAATTCAAGTTAGGAAGAGGACAAGAAAAAGTTCGGAAAGAATTACAAAGATTATGTTAGGGAAGAATTTAGGGAGGAAAGAGGGAAGCAGTAATGAACACCCACTGGAGATTTAAATTTAATTTCTTGTTTATATTTTTGCACAACTTTTGGTATGTATGTTTTGGAATCTAGGGTCTTGTAATAGCTTTTAGTACAATGGGACAAAGTTGACACATCTTTTGGAATGTTTGGTACTTTAACATCTTGGGTCCAGTATGTTTGGGAATCTTTTGTATTGTAAGGTACTTTAACATATTTATTTAAGTACATGTTTATTTAGATGTTTGTATACATTACATATTTACTTAGACGTTTACACAAGTTCATTATATATTAAACTTTGGTCGTGATACATAAATGTTACATATTGGTAATGTCATTTGTGATATTTATAATTCCATTTGTGTTCCCTGTGTTTAACATCTTTTGCACAAGTTCATTTATATGTTTGTATACAATTTGATCATAATACATCAAGTATTAAACATCAAACTTTAGTCATGATACATCAAAATTATGCTACATTAACTCAAACACATGCTTTAGTCACAACTTTCATTGCATACAAAACATCATAAAGTACATGATTTAGTCAGAATACATCAAACAGGATACAAAGAAGACATCAAACTTTAAAAACTACATCTTTAACATACAAGAAAAATAACACAAACAATGCAACTTTATGAGTAAACAACTTCCACTTAACTTTGTCCAGTTCTTATTTGAAAACCAAATCACAAGTCTTTTATTCTTCTAACTTCTTCCTGCATATGCTAATTTCGTGTTCCAAATTTCCAATCTTCAATGTTAGGTTGTAGAGTTGTCCCAAATCACAATTCTTCTCTACTTCGTACTCATCCTCTTCCGGCCATTCCCAGAAATTACATTTTGGAGTTCTTATACTCTTAAGGAAAGGATAAAATAAGGTTAAAATGAAGATAAGATGATGAAGAAGATTTAGTTAGGGTCGATTAAAAAAACACGGATTCCCGGGTGTTCATTGAATCTTCACACGTGATGGCATGTCGTACTTACATGGATGGTCAACTTGCAATTCGACATTGCGTTTGGAAGAGGCAGATGAAGTAGACGAAGTAGCCATTGCCGATATAGTCGATCTAGGGCTTTAACGTACAAACAAACCATATAACACCCTTTATATAATGAGGTGATGTGTACTATGCCACATAGATGCCACGTATTATCTTGTGTATGCAACCCAAGCCTTGATTTAGCTACATCAGATGAAACTGGTATTAGCCGGTAATCTTGGTGTAATTTAAACAGATAAAACAAGTTACTTGTTTTTTTATGTACAACAAAGAAGAAGTTGTCAATATGTGAACACGGGTAAGAGGTAGTTACCATCCTAAGTCATTTTCCCTTTTTTTTATTATGTTTACACCACTTACCGCTACCAGCAATACATATTTATATCTAAAAAATAATTTAGACAATAATAATTTAGGGGTTTGCATGTGTGGTTTTAGGCCAAATCAAACCGTTAACCGAAGGCTGCAGTTTTTGCATTCCAAAACCAATAGATGTCGTTTTCAATGGTTCGATTTTACGGTTTTCGAATGTGGTTTCGGGTTTCAACGATTTGGTTTTGGTTTTAAAGCAAGTCAAAACAGTGGTGTAGACATGATGCGGTGTTTCGAAACCGTGAACAGGCGCAAACCATAAAAAAAAACATTAAGAGCCCAATTTTTTCTTCCATTTGCAGCCCAATAATAATAGATAATTCACTAAATGGTTTCATTTTCCATGATTTTTATTCCCTTTGATAAGCATAGGTGATTCACAATGACACAAACTATCGATTCATTTTTCTAAGAGAAAATTACATAATTTGTATTGGTTTGCAAAAAAAAAAAAAAAAAAAAAAAAAAAAAGACCACTATAGGTTCTATGAAATTTTTTGTATGCCAGATATTTTTCATGCTTAAAAAAGTTAACTGTTAATTTTTTTTTTTTCAGTTAAGTCTTAGAAATAATATATTTTTCAATTGTTATAGGGACTATTTGTGTAATTTTGTCTATTGATTATTGTTTTTATATTATTTTATTTATATTTTTTATAATTTAGATTTTTTTACGTTTTGATCGAATATATTGTTTAATGTTTTTTATTACATTTTTTTCGCTTACATTTTTTTTAAGTTTGCTCAAATTTCTTCTTAGTTTTTTGACCTTTTTTTTTAATGTATTTTTTTTCAAAGTTTTTTTTGACTTCTTGTTTATATTTTTTTAAAAGAATTCATGGCTATTACAATCATCATTCATAATATAATTCACTTACAATTATGATTTTATTTTTCTTTTTATTCTTTTAATATCGATAAAGTGATATAATTATATAACACAGGTAATGTTATATAATTTTTATAAAACAATGTTATATAATTATTATTTTTATAAAGCATTTTATAAATAATTTTCGTAAAAAAGTGTAAAATTGTTTGTTAAACGTGAATATGATTAATATCGATTAGATATAAATTGTTTGTTTTAATAATATTAATACGTAGCCTAACCAAAATCCAAAACGAGTGTGAACTTATAGATAGGCTAATCGGAATTTGTAAGACTTGACAAAAAAAAAATCTAAAATAAACTCGAAAACATTACAGTTACGTCCACATCTTTTTTTCTCTCTCCATTCATCAACCACCTCTTTTTGAGTTCCTTTTTTTTATTTTTCATTTTTTTCAGTTTTTAGACATTTTCTTCGTTTCGAGTTATACGGATTCCAATTAGCCTATGTATAATTTGACATCAGTTTCAGATTCCGATTAGCTTATATATTAATCCTACTAAAATAAATAATATTATACCTAATTTATATACCCTATTCATGCTTAATAAAACTTTTTATACTTTTTATGCAAAAAATATTTACAAAAGATTTATAAAAGTAATACTTATATAAACTTAACTATATTATATAGTTAAATATTTGAAGAAAATCATAATAATTATATAACCTTGTCTGTGTTACAAGGTCAAAAAAAAAAAAAAAAAAAAAAAAAAAAAAAAAAAAAAAAAAAAAAGGAAATATTGTATGAGAGTTATATTACAGATTACAATTACACTAGCCATGAAATCATTAAAAATTTATAAACAAACAGAAGTCAAAACATATTAAAAAATGCATTGGAACAAAAGGTAAAAAGACTAGAAAATTTTATCGGAATAAAATGTCAAAATATATGAGAATCAAGTGACTTTAAACAACATATTTGAATAAAGCAACAAAAAAACAATCTAAATCATAAAAAAATATAAAAAAATAAAATAAAATAAAAACAATAATAAATAATAGAAAAAATTACATATTGATCATTATGGTATAACAAAATACATCAATGGTATCTATCATATGTGTCATTTCTCAAGTTAAAACCATTAACCAAAAGGACTTTATATTTTTATTTTAAACTTGAAAATGACCTATCATGTCAAAAAATCTTTAAAATGACATGCAATGGCATTTTTTACACACCACAAGGACCAAAAATGTAATTTTATCTTTTTCTAATTCTAATTGAAACTCACATACTTGCAAAAACACTTAAACACAAATGTGTCTCTAAAACACTTAAACACAAATGTGTCTCTGTTTTGCAAAGAAAGATTAAGTCTCACAGAAATGAAAATCTTTTATCTTTAATCTCAATCTAGAAGCCTTACAAATCCAATTAACAGTCTCTATGGAACCAAAGGCATCTAATGGTGAAGATTAATGGACACACACTCTAATGGACCTCATGTATTGGTGGCCATAGAGAATCAAAGGCATCTAATGGTGAAGATTAATGGACACACACTCTAATGGACCTTATGTATTGGTGGTTGGCCGAATTCATGAGAGAGAGAGATATGTCATCAACTTCAATTAGGTCCCACACCCTCCCTCTTGTATTTTATAAACTTTACTTTCAAATTTTAGAAAATATTTTAAAAGGTGTAGCAGCGCAGCTTATTGCCCGTTTGCCATCTCATTTGTTGTACGATGATAATTAAATTTATTTAATGAAAAGTTTAATATTTAATATATATATATATATATATATATATATATATATATATATATATATATATATATATATATATATATAATTTAACCTTTAAATGAAATAAACACTTAAACAAATTTAATTAAATCATTATTTCTTCTATAATTAAATCTACATAATTGTCTAATATCATACACTTCTTAATAAATATGGTTTTCTTCCTTTAATCTCTCAGTGTACTGTGACTTCATATCAACATTTGTGATATAAATAAACTGAGTGGGTCAGGTTGGGAAATATGGTGAGTAGATAGGGTTTTCAACCCATAATAATATAATTATTATGTTTAATCATCAAACAATTAACATAATTACCCATCCTCAATATATTCTTTATTCTTAAGGGTCAACCCTAATAATTATTTATCCTACATTCCTTCAATCCGAAGTCCATTACTTCCAGGGTTTATATGATAGACACTAAGTCCATAACTGTCAATGCTCGTTCGTAAATCATTAATTCCATAGCTGCTAAAGTTCATTCATTGGGTACTAAATCCATAGCTACCAGTGTTTATCTAATAGGTACTAAGTCCATAGCTACCAACGTTTATCTAACAGGTACTAAGTCCATAGCAACCAATGTTTATCTAACAAGGACTAAGTCCATAGCTACCAACGTTTATCTAATAGACACTAAGTCCATAGTTGTCGATGTTATTTATTAAGCACTAAGTCTATAGCTGCCAATGTTCACTCATATCATCTTTCATCTCTCATCATTCATCTACCCATGTTTTATCCAACATATTGGTAAATATAAAATACACATACAGTTTAAATTATTTAAAACATGTATAAAATCATTCATCCAACATAGATAACAAGTATATAGGTTATACGCACACATAGCACGTAATTTATATAAAATACTTCATATCTACGTGTAA